TAAGTAAGTAGGTAGGTAGGTAGGTAAGTAAGTAAGTAAGTAAGTAAGTAGGTAAGTAAAGTAAGTAAGCATGCATGCATGCATGCATGCATGCATGCATGTATGTATGTACGTCTATATATACCGAACATGAGAACCAATCTCCTATAGCAAGGATTAAAGTTTCCAAGGTTTTGGGAGCGACCGGGACAAAACAACGGGCTTCCCAGCTCTTTTGAGCTCTTTTATATAACAACTGTTTTTCAGTTTAGGGGTTTTAGGGTGTAGGGTTACATGAAGAATGACGAAGCAGCAGTTAAAAAGTTAAGCACCAAGTAAAACCAATCTAGGAAGTTGAACATTTTTACTCCAAGCTTTTGTTGTTTTGTTTCCCGGCGTCAGGGCGAACTTGGATCTCTCGTGCCTCCAATGCCCTGACAACATGCAAGCTCATTTGGTATGTCCTAGATGTTTAGTTGTTTAGGCCGTGCTAGTTTAGGCTTAGGGGTTGCGGCAGAGGACTAGGTAAACAGGGCCTGAAACTTCGAATTTTCTGGAGTGAAGGCTTGGTGTGTTTTCGCGTGGACGGGGCCTAGTGTTGGCGACGTTTGTGGGTGTGGGATTGACAAAGGCTTTTCAGGACTGCGGCAAGTAATGGCAGTGCTTCTGTGCTGGTCTGTGTCATGCCTTGCATCGCCCTATCTTGTTAATTTATGTATTTCGGTCTTTCTCTTTTTTCGTTTGCTGTCTGTTTCTGTCTCTGTCCCAAGTGCGTTCTGCGCTTGACTGGTGAGTGTATCGTAGGGAGCACAGAGAAACATGAGGCGTGTGTACAACTGGTGAACGCCTTGCAGTCGCCGCTGTAGAACCCATATTATAGCACCTTCGGAAGCCCCTGAGCAATCTCTGATGTACCTGGATCCAAAACCCAATGGTCTAAGCCCCAAACCTTCTGAGTACTTGGTAGTCAGGTAGTCCGTATTCAATTCGAGTATAGCCAAAGTTATGATCAGTTATCGCCCCCGTTTCATTCGTTCAACAAATATCAAACCTCAAGACCCTGTTTTCAGTACTTCCGGCCCCCCCAAATCCCTATAATTCAACTTAACACCTTGTTTTAGCGACTCGGGCCGCCCAACAATTACCCCAAAGATTTCTGCGAAGGTCCGCCACGGACTTCGCGATGTACCGAGACAGCATGACCTTGAGGAGATGCAGTACCTCGATGGATTGTACAGGTTCATATAAGACTGAGTAAGTCCTTAGGCTTCCTTCTTAATTATCGGCAAAGTATAGTATAGTTGTGCCGGTGACTTCTTGCAAGTCCCTTCGCCTTCAGCCGTCAACGGAGGATCCTCAGGATCTGTATCTTTTCGAGTTTAGGGTTTAGGGTCTGTGGGGGTTCAGGTCCTCATTTAGACTGAACCGCCATATCCTAAAGCCTGAGCCACGAGCCTATTAGACCCAATCTCTGAACCCCCAAAACCGCCGCTTTCGTTAGAGGAGCCCGTACACGGGCCCTGTTGGAACCCTGAAGACTTGGCGAGGGAGGGTGCAAGCTCAGGCAGCTGATCATCACAGACATGCCGTTGAATTTGGCCAGCGATCGCCTGAGATTCCACTTGGTCTTGCCTGTAGCGATGCTTTCCTAAACCCCAACCCCCCATACTTCCTCATCCCGAGTCATTTAGGAGAGATGCATGGCAGCCTTTTCGACGGCGAGCTGGCGCGAAACGCATTTCTGACTCACCCTACATTGCCCGGCATACCGGCGCGATTGCCGCTGCTGCTGTCGGTCGTCCTGGTGCCAAAGCTGTATGACTCCTGGCGGTTGGCAGTTAGCAAGTATATAGCTTATAGAACTGCTATACCTGATTGCCCCCAACGCACAAGCGGGCTTTGAGCTCATCCTTCAAGCATCCATTTAACATACAAGAAGACTTCAGTCATCGCGACCCAAACACTGTACACTCTGTTAGGTTAAGGCACGAAACCTGAACTGAACTTTCCCTGAAACGGCTTCTCGTTCGTTCCTTGGGCTGGACATGCGCTACTCACTACTGTAGATGTTGTCCGGTTTTGTCCTGTGTTTTCCGTTTTCCTTGCTGCACAAGAGCCACGAGCAAAGAAATTAGTGAGCACAGTTTTTCACAGCATCCGCTCGACCGTCTACGTTCTAGTCCTTTCTTGGGTCTCCGTCTGTCTAGACACGTCTATGGCGAGTCGAGACTCCCACCAAGGAGCAAGCACAGATCGTCTACCAGTCTCCTGGCCGAACAGAGTATTGTGCTAAAACGATCCGGCCTTGTGGAATGCTTTCTCGAACTGGTAGCAAGCGTCTGCGGACTAACGGTTTGAGGACAGAAGGATGCCGTGTAGGAGAGCAACCTGCAGTCAGCTTTCAGGATGACGCGGAAAACTAGTGCGTCGAGAATTGTTTTGGACAGCCCAAATTACAAAAAAAATCGATGGAGGTTGCCGAGACAAGTTGTCTCGATTTTCTGTTGTGCACGACCAGATTTTCGTGTTGGAAGCGGCTCAACATAGCACATTCACCATGAGAAGCTGGCTCAGAAGACTTCGGGAATCCCAATCTCCCAAAGGCAAGTGCCTGTGTAACCCAGGGGCAGCATCCTCAAATTTATGTGCCTTCTTGGGCTCCGTCGACATTTCCCAACCCCAGGAGACCTCAAAGGTCGTTGGCTTGAACATCAAGAGAACCAGTACCGACATGAATTCACATCCTCCAGAGCGTAAGTCTCAGCCGCGCAGGAAGGGCGATCCGGCATTCCACATGTACCTCATTCTGCGAGGTGCACTCACTGCAATTCCCCTGTAGACTTGAGCTTGGCTGTACTGTTTCGCACCGAGCAGTGGGCCTGTACAAGTACATCGTTCGTTGTTGTGCAGGGTCATGGACTTTCTGGATTTAGGACCTGTGTGCTCTGACGTCAAACGCTGCGGGTGCATAGTGGAGTCAAGGGCTGGCGCGCTAGCAACGACGTGCATTATCGATGTCTGACTTCTGTCGTGCACTACTTGCCTCCTTTGCGGTTTGGTAGGTGAGGCAGCCAACAACAACAAGTTACTAGTTACGATTTCGCCGGCTGGTCACCTGCAGAATCGTCTTATCCATCATCCTTGCCATGTGTTCCCGGTTTCACAGCAAGCCCTGGCATGCAACAGAGGCGCCAGATCAAGGGTGACACCCCCGTATGAGCATTGTCAGAATAGCATTCCACTGGGTTCGTGATGCGCCTGAAGTCTAACGTGCTCCCACTTTCTCTTGCAAATCTTTGCTTGGGAACCGAGAGTATCACAGCATGTGACCTCGGAGATGATGCAGCCCGTCAGCAAGCCACAAAACCGACTAAGCTCCCAATCCGACCGCTGACTTCCAAAGGCCGAGGGCTTCAGCCCGAAAGCCTCCCATACCAAGGAAAGCCTGTCTCTGTTGAACCCCAGATCTAACCCCCCAAGGCCCCAACAAGCCCCCAGGCCCAACACCCACAACCCGAAGGCCTTGAATGCCAAGCCACCCGCCCGGCTTCTTCAGATAGCATCCCTCAACTAAACATGGGAGGCCAAGTTTAGGTTTACTGTATCAGGGTTAAGGGCGAGGGGGTGCACATAGAATATATAGGGTCCGTAATCGTGACGAAATAAAGGGCCCCCAGGGCTCCTCATTGCAATCGTCGTGTAAGATAAGCTAATACCCTAGTCAAACAACTATAAGGCCCCTGTAGTATGGGGGCTTCAGGGCTTCAAGACGCCACAGCTGAAAAGCGGGAGCAATCCTATATCCTCCCAGCCTTCCGCAGCATTGACAGACCACCGCAAGAGCAACCCAAGGCCAGTACACTGAGGCCGCATGGCTTGAACAAAGCCTGAACCCGGAATCGAAACTCTAGTACGACCTTAAAGCACTACCCCCTAACACGCACAAATCGAGAACCGTACCAGGTAAACCCAGGGTGTCCGAGTGTGAGCGCCGAAACCCTTAATACTTAGTACTACCTAGTTTGATGAATACCGAATACCTACTTGGCCAGGCACCTTCGCCTTCGTGGCCACACCTGTGCGGGACCACCACAAAAGGAAGTCCCAGCGCCTTAGCCGTCTGGTGCTCAGATTCTGGTTTGGCATGTGGGAGATACAAAACAAAAAAACTAAATCATGTACCCCATAATCCCATCCCTCGAGGGTCCCTTTTAGCAGTCCCTATAAACCAGTCCCGGCATTCCCTACCAAGAACAAGGGAGATGATAACTATAGTTATTTGTACAGTAAAAATTGTGTTATGTGTTGGACGTAGTATATAATTATCAAATTCAATTATTGGTATTTGCGATTCGTATTCTTAATGAGCCTGAGTTTTTTGTTGCTGTCGTGAATTTGTTGTTGGTGCTTGAGGTGTTTTGGGGATTGGGGTAACTAGGGTGTTGGGCTTGCGGTTTAGGGCTGAGGGTTTGTGGCTTCATCTATTACCCCAACCCTAAACCCTGAACCCTAAACTAGAAGTGTACCAAGCGTAAAGCCTAAACCCTAAACCCAAA